ACAGGTTTAACATGAATTTAAGCTCACATACAAGGAAAAACATTGCAGGAAAAAGATTTTCATACTTTAATCCTTTAAAAAGCAAATGCACACTCACACTAACAGTACAGCCAAAGCACCTTTTTTTTTCTCCTCTGTTACCTCTGGCATCAGTACTGGACCACAAACTTCGCTCTGGTTGATGGGGTATGAGAGGGGGGCAAAGCAACCCCAAGTAAACAGGGGTGACTGACTACAACTACCAATTAGCATCAGAGACTACTCAGATCTGTGTTTGCTGAAGGCACACAGGGAGGCTACAGCTTGTAGTGGTGCCAGGACATTATTCTGCATCAGGCTGCAAGAACAGGTACATTTTAAAGTGTCGGCAATGTCACTTGTGTTAACAAAACACAATGAAAGTAACGCCTGTGCATGAAAATCAGACACTTTTAGAATCCATTCCTGAATTGACTTCCAATTCTGGACTTTAATCACCATTCAGTAGCATTTGAATTGACTTATCAGTGACTTGGCTGGATAGAGAAAAATGCTAAGAAAAATGTAGAAAGGCAAGTGTGTGGGGTTTTTATCCCTTTGACACAACAGAGTCAGAAAGACTACAACACTCACTAATTTGGCAAATATTTTGGACAGAATTATTTTAAAAATTGCATTTGACTCAGCAAACAGTTTGATGGGGAAACTGAAAACACAAACAGGGCGCTTTTCTTGTGCTCAAGTGACTCGGGAGCATTTAAAGTCCCAGTGAGTCCCCATGTCACTAAAGCATTTAACAACACTTGACTGGTAGCATAACCCATATTTAGAGACATTCAGAACCCAGCTGTCATCTTGGGCATCTAAATAAATTTATCAGCTGTAGGCACAGTTATTCGAGAAGCACATACAGACATTGCTAATAGAAGCCTATCATAAGCTGCATGGGTGCCTTTAGCTATGTTATGGTACAGAAAAAGCTTTAGTTGGTGCAAAAAATCCTCTGTTAAAGGCTTGGAAATAGGCCTGCTAATGTAGCTCTGCTATCTCATGTTACCAAATATGATCAATCCAAGCAGAAACTCCAAATCCTTAGGGAGAGAGGGACGTTTCTTTGTTCTCTTGTATAGTGCAGGAGAACTCTGTTTTCATTTCACCACAATGAAAAAACACTTCAGATGCCTGCAAAACTCCAGTCTGGATATATCCAGGATAACACTAAGCTCACCACCAGAAATTATGAAATTTCAGTAAAATGTTTAAGTAAGGAGCACAACACTGCACACCCCTCACAGATGGCTGGGGAGGGAGAGCTCCTTCAGAGCCTGACTGTCTGGGTCACTTTTTACCTATGCTAAATATTCAGATTTATTGAACATCCTCTTAAGGGCTTTACAAAGGAGTTTCAGAAGGTTAAAAATCCTGCTTCGTGTCCCTACTGACCTGTAAAACGAAAGCAGGATGAACTCATCCTGCCCACCCACACTCACCCACGTTATCTCAGGGCCGGCAGTAACGACCTGAAGCAGCCCAGCTTCTGTTTAATGGTTGTGATACATTATTGCACAAAATGTATGAGGCCTCTGATCTCAAGAGGTGAAAGTTGCATGCTGCAGACCTTCCTGATGTGTTCAAATCACACGTAGCTGCTCTTGTGAACTTAGTTATGCCAGGCAGAAACACAAAATGCTGCGATGCCTTTGATTGGGTCAGTAAGTGCAACTGATTGTAAATAATTATAGCGTGGTCCTCAGGGATGATCATTAGTAGCCACAGGCATGGAGACCCAATTGGCCACATTCATCACAGTGTCTAATTGTGCAGTTCACAGGTATTTACCTGGTTCTGTTTGGTTCAGCTGTATCTTCAGCACTTGGGGGGCACGGTGCGGATAAAAAGCTGCCCATTTCCTGCACACCTTTTCATACTACACTCTATTAATGCACTGGCCACCTGAATATGCAATTAAAGCATCACTGAAATAATTCTCCTCTAATGAAACAGCTTCTCATGAACACAAGATTGAGTGTATGCGTGCTGGTTTGGGCTGGGATAGAGTTCATTTTCTTCACAGTATCTGGTACAGAGCTATGATTTGGACTTATTCTGGAAACGGTGTTGGTAATTCAGGGATGTTTTAGCTATTGCTGAGCAGCACTTAGAGAGTCTAGGCTTCTTCTGCTCCTCACCCCACCCCACCAGTGAGGAGGCAGGGGGTGCACAAGGAGTTGGAGGGGACACAGCCAGAACAGCTGACTCCAGCTGACCACAGGGATATCCCAGACCATACGGTGTTGTGCTCAGCACACAGAGCTGGGGGAAGAAAAAGGAAGGGGCGGACATTTGGAGTGATGGCACTTCTCTTCCCAAGTCCCCATTATGTGTGATGGAGCTCTGCTTTCCTGGGAATGGTCAAAAACCTGCCAGTCAATGCAAAGTAGTGAACAAATTCTTTGCTTTGTTTTGCCTGTGCATGGCTTTTACTTATTCTTTATCTCAACCCGTGAGTTTTGTCGCCTTTATTTTTCCAATTCTCTCTCCCATCCCACCACAAGGGAGCGAGTAAAGTGGCTGTGTGGGACTGAGTTGCAGCTGGGGCTAAACCCCAACAGTCTGCTAGAAAAACTCCCAGTCACATGTATGCTGCATGGTGACACAGGGTTTTAAGTACGTGCTAATTCCAGGCCAGTATAGAAATCCCCTTGCTTATTCTTAGTTACATAGAAGTATATCCTGTGTTATGGGCTATTTTGCACATCTGTTTCCACATTTTTTTTATTAATACATAATTTTTAGAAAAAACTCTCTCATCCTGAGCTACCAAGGTTAAAACAAGTAAGATGTTTGTTGGTCTGCTTCTTTTACTGGACTAATTTATCTCCTAATATTCATAAGGTGACTCCATTAACACATTTACGAAGTGCTAAGAGAAGAGCTTTTAATCATGGAGATAACTGTTTATGATAGTTGTCTGTCATTAATTAGTTTGCAAGCCTTACACACTCTGCTGAGGATGCCCAGATCTTTTACATGTGATCAAGCCGGATTCTGCACATAGGCAATACGATTACCACCTGAATGTAAATAAAATGCCCCAAACATTCAAGCTACATTTAAAATTGAGTTGTTCTGGCGAGGAATATTCTTTATCCCAATTCTGAGAAGCTGGAAAATGTTATCAGAAGACTGCAAAAGCCCAATTTAGGCATTTGATTTACTTTTAAAACAGCATTTGCCAAAGTACTGCTGTACCTTGGTACAGAATACCACCTAGTACAAAATATACCTAGCTGGAAGTGCCCCTCCTTAAAAATAGGTCATGTAATATCATTATTCCTAAAACTGTATTATTTGTGTTCTATAGAATATTAAAAAAACCCTAAAAACCAAACAGAACCCTGTTAAGGTTTATAACTAAGTTGAACTTACTAGAAAATCTGATTGTAATTGTATACATTAACCTATTTTTCATCTGGCTTCCTAAGGGAATAAGGTTTGCAGGGCCAACTGTCTATTTCTTCCCCTTCTTCCTCCTCCCAAATACATGACTGGATTCCTTTGCCCATTTACAAACTCAAAAAAAGGCAAAGCTTTTAAATACTACTAAATTTCTGTAAACATACAGAGATTCAGGGCTAGAGAGAGGGGACACATCCCATACCACTGTGCAGAGAGAGGGAGAGGAGAGACATTTAGGAATTACATGTCTGTTTGGCAGCAGTTGTTCAGCCAAACCAGCAAGCGTACAGCTCCTGAGGAGCAGCAATCCATGCTGTCACTTGCACACCGGGGTGCATGGAAATCTAGGGAAGGAAGGATTTGGGTAATGAAGGATAACTCCTGAGCAAACCAGGCTCCATCAGTTCTGCTACTTGTGTTTTGTTTTTCAGACCATGCATTAATCTCCGGTCCCACTTTCATTAGTACAAATAATCCAGTGAACACAGCAACAAAATAGCAGTCACCTGCTTCAGAGGATCAAATTCTCAGACATTTCATTGGGCAAAGGAAACTCATTATGGTATGTTTTTCAAATGAGTCTTATGAGCAGACCTTCAAAAAGGCATTTTGGAGCTAACTCCCGCTGGCTTAAAGGGAAACAGGATTTCAGCCTCTGTGCCAAGACCTTCAGCCGTGAGCACACAGGCTGCCTCCAGAGTTCTAACCTTTAAATCTGTGCCCCTGAAAATGAACATCTCACCCAAGTGCCACTGCCAGCACAGCAGTAAGGGGAGGCAGAAGCTGTGTATTACCCAGCATAGCATATTCGACCTGAACTGTCCATCGCAGACACAATCAATTGGTAGAACCAGCTATGTAGCTGAAACAAGTTACATCCACAGTGAACAAAGAGGTTAATGAACTCTTCCACCCAACACCATACAGGACAATGTGGTTGGAACAGCTTTCTGAAAGCAACCCACTGCATTTTATTGGTCAAGCTAAAACTTCAAGCAATGAAAAAGATCAGCCCAGTGCATTCTCACCAGAATAGTAAGTAGTATCACTACCAAATCTGCATTAGTTTTAAAAAGGCCTGGGGACTTTCTGAACTTAGACCTAGTTTTCTGGCATTGCCAGAAAAACTGCGGCAGAGGACTGAAAATGCTCAAAACAACACAGCAGCAGCCAAGAACAAGAACTCAGGAGCTCATGGTTCTCAAGTTGAGTTGTTCAATCAACCAGAGTTGTGCTTTGAAAGCAAACAACACTGAAAGAAGCTGAAAATGGGAAATCATGCTGTAAAGTGATGAGTCCTCTAACTATTTAAGCATCATTACATTCTTCAATTATGTTTTGACTCAGCCTACAAAGTGTCCCTCTCCCAGCAGCACATCTCCATCCTAAATGTGAAGTCAGCAACTTCACAAACATTTCATGCCTTTTGTATTTAACAATCATCACAAACAAGAAAAGCCTGGACTCTGAGTTCAAGGTTCTGTGAAACTTCCAAGGAAAAATCATCACTGATTTTGTCAGCAAGCATTTGGCTCAGAGTACAGAATAGAAAACAAACTCACATGGTGCATGGAACATCACTAGCACAGATGAATGGTCTTTTATAAACTTGTCGAAGTCTTCATCAGTCAGGTGATAAACTACATTTTCTTCATCTGCCCAGGGAGTCTCTGGAGGCTGTGGCTGAGGTGCCTGTGGGCTACAAGACAAACAGACAGAGCTTAAAAGCAGCTTTCTGGTGCTAAGGAATCATTTTGGCAGGTCAGACTGTAAGGAACCACTTTGTGCAGATGTTCACACGTGTGACACACCAACCCTACTGAACAGTTTCTCTAATTGTACCCACCCAGAAATCACAAGCCCTAAAATGCAGATAAAACTGAAGGAGGAATAAAAAAACCCACAAGAAGCTCATGAGGACAGATCAGCAATGGAAGGGGATGGAGACAGGAGATAACCAGACTGCTTAGTTATTACATTATAGAAATCAGATGCATTTTCTATCACTCTTTCACCCTTCTCAGCAGGATGCTCCCTTTCTCACAGCTTTGTACTTTGTAGTTCACAGAAGTCATTGCAAACGAAAGAAAAGAGTAGTGAGCAGAAACAGCCAATTTAACCCGTCACCTTGGATACTGACAGCATGATTAGGGCCGAGAGAGAAGGAAGGAGGTGCAGTGCTGGGACCATGAGCCAGCTACACACACCATTTCCCCAGGAATATATGGTTTTACCCTGAACAGCTCTTGTGGCCCAGAGAAGCATCGCTCTGTCCTCCCCCTCAGTGGGCTTGTAGGCCTAACTCAGCAAACCTACTCAATTGCACACTTAACATAAAAGGTGTTATGTTCTACCAACTTCAGTATGACTGCACATGAGTTTAACTGTCTTTGATGGATCAGAGCCACAGAGACTACTCAAAGACATGGTGGCAAGTCTGGAAACTGAACCTAAGCTCCTCTGGACCAGTTCAGTGCTCACCATCCCACTGAACAATTGGGTTTGGCTTTTATTAATGTACAAGAAAAAGATAATTTGGCAGCTGTGAACTAAACTATGCTAATTGACATTTTATTTAATAAAGCAATGTTCACAGAAAGGATACTCAAACACACCAATACTGGGTGCCAGACTTTGAAGCTATTTTATCATTGCCAGTTGCAGTAATGAGTTCCAAATACCCCTCAAATTCCCCAAATTCTCTGGCAAAGTACAGGTCTGGATTTGACCCCACCTCTGGTGAAAACAGATTTACTATTTTTGATTAAAATGTATTATTGTGTTATCTGCCTGGAACAAGGAATGGCAAACAGATGATAACTCATTTATCCTGCCCTGCTCATTTCTAGGCTGAAAGTCTAGTTTGATAAAAAAAGCAGTGGAGAGATACACAGATTCAGACAGCAAATTCTGTTGACGTAAGCAATGGGTATGATCCAAGGATATTAAGCAATCCATGCAAAACTGTGATGCACACCTCTACTGCTGCTTATATGATAAATATAGTGAGAAGCAAACATCAAAGCAAAGACTGGAGCTGCACTTGACCAAGCAGGGGAGAGAGACAAAGAGGTGGGTCCCCGTCCGCAGGAGTTTACTCTCTAAAAGCTTAGCAGATAATCAGTTTGCTTGTCGCCAAGCCTGTAAGAGACCAATAATCTCCAGGTATCCTGGGAGAGTGAAGGCTTTCCAGAAAACATCACGACACTTAACAGATTTGGGAGCTGGGCTGAGTAGGCAGAGCATGATGAACATGGACACAGTGTCTACAAAGAACTGAGAGAACGTGGTGTTTAGCACGACCTGGCATGACCTATTTCAGTCAGCAATTAGAAAAGCAGGGCACGGGATGTTTATTCAAATGGCCCAATTTAAAATGCTACGCATGCTAATAAGCCTACAGTGGAGTGGGTAAGAAACACCTCAAGGCCTGGAGGAAGCAACAAGCAAAATCTAAAATGTTATTTAAAACTGACACAAGGCACATCCAACACCTGATTAGGATGACAGAAGTCCGGAAGAGTTATCAAAAGCTAATTCAATTAAAAGCACAGAACAAGTTCTTGATTTAACAGAGTAGCTGATGCTAAAGAAGGACCTGAGAGGAATCTATAAAAACAGCAAGACAAACTAAGCAGCTCTTGAAGGCAGCAAGAAGTTGTCTCTCTTACCTACCACTCGGGCTGATACAGCTGTGTATCAGATTTAACAAAAAGAACAGCGGTATGTACAAGATAGCACCTCTACTGTTACTGTGTATCAGATTAAGGCTGTATGATGGTTTGTCTCTAACATCTCATGAAAACATCTGAAACTACATAACAGTAGCCAGTGCCTATTAGAAAGAAGAGAGAGGTTAAGTGTCTGTAAGACTGATGCATTAGCACACTTCAGCACAAGAAAGAAGCACCTTCAATAAGTAGATTTAAAAAAAAAAAAAAAGGAGTTGGAGCCCTCCAAACTATCAGTTCTTGTCCTGAGAGGAAAAAGCATGGACAACATCCTTTCAATAATTTAAATAATTCTAACCTTCACTAAGTCATATCACGTCCTCCCCCCAAAATCAGCATAAGACCAAGTACTTTCAGGACTTTGCCAGTAACATTTAGAGAGAAAAAAACCAAGAAGGGGGAGAAGGAAAAGAGTTGCTTTTCTGCAGTGTACCTAGTGTCCACAATAAATAGGCCATTTCATATGGCTCAATGTCTGCTGGATTTGCTTTGGAGAATCCATGATGACAGCACATGCATGCAGAGTATAAAAATGCACTGGCTGTCTTTGCCATGGCCCTGCCTTGCCCCTGCTCCAGAGCAATAGCTTGCATCAGTGTGACCTCCTTATATGATTTTAATATTACACTCTTCTGAAACACAGCCTATGCACCCTGTAGCTCTCTAACTACACTCCTTGGCTTTCCTAAATCCCTTGCCATACCATTTGACTACTTGTACTGCAGCTTCCTCAGAGTAATATAATATTATGTATGTAGCAGATTTACCACATATATGGTTTTAACTGCAGCATCAATTACTGGCAAAACGTAAGTACACATAATTTCTCAAAGCAGTTTCCTTAAAAGTTGTATTTTTTATACAAAATAGAGGCACAAGGCTACTGCTCAGATCATCGTTTGGGAAACTAATAAGCATGCACTAAGTGAGGACAAACAGCTGTCTTTAGCTCTGGACTGCTGAAATATCAGCCAAAGCCCACAGTGGCTTGTTAGCAGAGATTATCATTGGAAAGAGCTTGCAGCTGTTCTGCTTTGCCTCCAGTAGCTGTGTTCACTTGCTGTCACAGCACTGATATAAAGGCACTGCACATTACTGGGATTATCTGGATATTATGCAGGCAGACAGGGGAAAAAAACACCCCAAACATCTAATGTTTCACATATGGTAGCCAAAAGATAACCACATCCTTGCAGAACTGAGAAGCATAACAAAGTGCAGGTGATGAAGGCATATCCTTGCTCCCAGGGCTGATCATCTCCTTAGTGTTGCTGGAGTTGCCATCTTGATCTCTCACATCTGAAGATTTAATCGACTACATGAGGCTTAAAGACTTTGGCTAAATTCCTCCTCTTTGATCCTCTGGGCAGTACACATGCCTCCTGATGCAAACAGAAATGATGCTGTCACTTCATTTGTGGGTTCCAAATCCTGAAATACTCAGTCTACTGCTGCTGAAGACCCTGGGCTACCTGCTAACCATATGGACATCCCCATCATAGTCCCACTGGTAAAGTAAGATACATTTATTCTGAGTCAATTTTGCTAAACTGTATTATTACAATAGTTTGCAACAGTCTGTTCCTTCCCATGTGTTTGTTTCCTTTTATTAGCTTCATTTCAGTATTGTTTCCGTGACTGCAGCAAATAAGGGAGGGTTACAAAGATGACATCATGCCCAGGGCTCACTGCTAACGGGATTTCTCCAACACCAGGCTGTCTTAGCTCTCTCAGCTGCTCTCTCAGCTTCACTGACAATGTGGTGATTAGCACCAGTTAAAGAGCAGCTGTACACATACTTGCACACTCTTCTTGTGTCTCTGTCTCTCAGTTGCTAGTCCCACAGGCTCATTCAACCCCCCAAATGTTTATGACTGCAAATAGCGATCTTTAGGTAGAACAAGATGCTTTCGATACTTCGCCCCATGACAGGAAACAAAGATGTAAAAATGACTACCTGTCTGAGGTGTCTTGATTCAGTTTGTCTCTGCAAGACACTTTAAAGGCTTCAGCTAAAGGCTGAGGAACCAACAAGAGCTGCGCACTTGGTATATACATTTTTAATAAAACAACAGAAGTCAAACGCTTTGCGAGGTATTAAGTTCAGGCACCCAAGATCACTGGCATTTTTAACGAAGCTGAGATCTGTGCATCTGCATTTATTTTGGTCCACTGTCAGTCTCCCGTCATAGACAAAATGCAATTGTGAAATGAAAGGCATGCATGCTAAAAACCAAACATTAGGCAATCTCTCTGTATGAATTTAGCTGATCTCAGCGGGGTAGTTTTGTTTGCTCTTCTGAGCCGAGGGAATGAGGGAGAGATGTCTGTTCCTAAACCATTACATTCTGTAAATAATGAAGAGTACATAAAAGGTGGAGTGCATGAAGTTCAATGCCTTACTTTTTCAGCCACTCTGCTATATCTGCTGCAGTAGCACCAAAGTTCTCGAAGTTGAACAGGAACTTTCCTTTCCTGTTAAAGCAACAAAACAAGGTTCAGTCCTTGCCCTGGAAGATAAAAACATGCAATTATAGAAGAGTGTATGATCTCTAAAGTAGTAGCAAAACATAACCAACTCAAAATAGCAGATTGTAGGATATCCCCGGACATTGAATTCTTCCTTTATCCTTTCAAATTCGGCAGAGTAAACATTCATTCCCGCAAGAACCTGGAAAAACAGAGCATAATCTTACTGATTCTTACAATACAGCAGGAATATCACATTTGTTTGAAGGTTTAAGTAAAAACAAATAAGATCTGGACAGATTCTGATTTCATTCATACAGTTGTCAAGCAAGAGGATCTCTGTAAAAGGCACTGAAGCTTTTCTGATTTTGTGCAAGGGGAACAGAACAATACTTGAGTCTAATCCAGAGGAAACACACACCAGTCAGCATGTCACCTCCTCCTTGCTCTGGAAGCATCTCTGTTTCTTTTTATTCGCCCACTAAGAGAAACACCTAAAGGGATTCTCTCAATTGCACTATTTGTACTCTTCTTTGTGCATTTGGCTTTTAAGCTACAAGTGTAACCACTTTTTTTTTCCTTTTCTTCCTCTGCAAGCAGGAAAAAACACTTCTTAGTTCACATCCAAACATTAGCTAGGACACAAGAAGTTCCACCCTCAGCTCTCTAGTTTCCACTACAGCAATGAATTTACAATCTCAGCTTATGTCCAGAAGCTCTAACCAACCAAGCACTGGCATTATCCCAGCTCAAAAATGCACTTACTGAATGGCAAGGGGAAATCAGCATTACTTTGATGTGAAAATAAAGCATGCCCTATTTCCATGAGCTCAGGAAATATCACATGGCATTTATATGCTTTAAATATGTTAACTTACGTGACTGGTAGGGTATAATGAAAGTTAAGAATTAACCTTGTCCTACAGATATCAAAAGAGGGGCACAGAAGCATAGTAGCTTTTCAGATTAGCATGTGAAACAAAACCCCCCTCTTACCCTTTCCTTACCTCTACCCCAACCCATCCTCCACCTCAACAGCCCTTCATCCTGAGCTTCAGGTTCAGGGCTCCTGTGACTTATATCGTGTCCTGTGACTTACTCTGTGCCCTTTCTAAACGTCTTCCAAATATTTTTTACTTGAAACTTGGAAGATGGGACTGATTCTGAGCTTTTGTGGGTGTGCAATTCACACAGAGGTTGTTCTGCTGTCAAACCTGCAACCAGAGAGTTGCTGAGATACCACTTCCTGATTAACTTAGTTTAATGGCATTGATGGCTTAAATCATTTTAGCAGCAGGGTCTTAATCCAAACCCCTCCTCCTTCCCTCTCCAAAACCAGGATTTTCTCCTTCCAGCTGAAATGCCACATCAGAATTTAATACCATGTTCCTGACTGCAGCAAACTGCACAGACCAACCAAATGTGCTCAGAGCCAGCATGAAATAAATCTTAAAGCAGAAAATCCTCATTTGAAGGTCAGCCTTTTCTAAGAATGTGCTGGAAAGTCACAAAAAGATACTTTGTTTTCTCTTCCCTATCCTGAGAAAGGATAAAGTTAACAGAGAAAAGTACAGTAATAGGGTTTATACTTGCTGGCCAAGTCTCTCACTTTGAATTTTCCTAGTAGTTCCAAGAACCAGACTGATTTAATTCATATGAGATTACCTAGACCCAATTCTCCCTTTTCCTTGTCCTCTATGCCACTGCCTAAGGGCAGGTAAATGCAATAGGATCAAGATACAGTGGTTGTTTTATAAAGCAAGAACAAGGTTTCTTAACTAATTCCCTAATAAACACCAGTCTACCAGATTTCACATTTGCTGTGAACTTTCAGAGTATTTCCAAGGTCTTAAACAGGCATTCCCAGCCATTTCATATACTCTGCTACAATTTCACTGTGTCCATCCAATGGTGATTGATATAAGTCAATAACTTGGATTCATTCTGGTGTTCATACACTTTATGAAGCATAATTAGCAAAAAAACTATTGCAATGGGATTCATTTTTAATGACAAAAGTAACAGCTATAGCTGACCTATAATCACAGAATTATGCAATATCAGGCTGTCAGAGACCACCAAAACACACGTACTACCCAAAGCCAGAGTCCTCCTGCCAGATGTTCAGCTAATCTGCTTTTAGCAAATGACTGAATGACCCCAGCTTCAGTTTGAGACCATTACCACTTGTAATAGCCACTGCAGAAATGAAGATCAGATTATTCCTTTCACCTCTGCAGTGACATTTGACATATTTCAACACTTACCTGCTCTCCACCAAGCTACCTATAACCTAAACCAGCTCTGAACCTTTCCTAGCTCCCTCCCCATGTCTTCACAGCTTCTGACCATTCCTGCTTGACTGTGACACTGTGACCCTCTACTTTACTTCACGGTTTTCTTCATGGGATTGCTCCAAAAAAAAAAAAAAAAAAAAAAAAAGACAAGCACCAAAGGAGGAAAGCTCTGAAGCATATTCTCAAGCTGGTCTTTACTGAGCAGAACTGGCACACTCATGAAGTCCATGGGCATTAAGAAGATGCTGAAGTGCTCTGCTGGCCACCAGTTTCTCCCTGCTCTGGGGCCACAGTGCATCGGTCACAGTCACTCACCAGAGCCCACCCAACCCTCTAACCACGGGAACACCTCACGCCAATGATAAAATAAGCCCACTTCTTCTGATTTGGTGCCCTTTTTCCTTCTGCGCTGGGTGCAACGGAATTGCAAGATCTAACCAGAATATAAACTGAAAATACCTCTGTGCCCTCCTCTCAGTAACAGTCCTGGGACAAAAAACAACTAGTCCCAAGGGAAAACAGCGAGAGGTACAGTTCACCTGTTCATTTTTACAACCTCTTAGATAGGCAATACTGCGCTTAATTTTCCTGCTATATAACAGCCATAATCGCTTTTGAGCCTGGCACATCCTGACAACTAATGACAGGTCAGATTAAAGGGCCAAACCTTCAGCTCATCCAAACTAATCATAAACTTTCTAGCAAAGTCTGATCTGGAAGTCAACATCACTCTAAGGTACTCCATAAATAATTTATGATGGGTACAGCACAGTTAACTTTAGAAATGGCAAGTTGTGTACACATCCCACTCAGGAAGCTAATTAGGTCAAATTTTGATACACAGACTGATTTTTGTGAAAGACGCAGGTGGCAGTGCCATAACTGCACTTTTCTCTGAACTAATCCTGCACCACAGCATTCCACTGCAAAAAGTTGTGTCCCAGCCCTGTCCTCCACCATGCAGGATTAGCCTGGATCTACAGAAACAATTTCCAATGAGGAAGGAAATACTCAAACTAGAATAGATCTAGAGTTTTAATTTTCTGGTCTGAATTTAATAAAATGAGCTGCACACGGACAAGGAAGGGACAACTGTAGGAGAACACAGCGTTCTGCACCATGCCTAGCACTGGCACTGTCCCTGTAGGTGATCTTTACACTGCTAATTGCTGTTCACTCCACACCTCACGATGTACCCCCACGCAAGGCAGAAGTGCCTCCCCAAGGACTGCAGCACACATTCCACTAGAGGAGATGGCATTAGAGGGCTGCCTGGAGAGACAAAAACACTCTTGAAAATATCTTCAAGGGTTGTACTGTGTCCTAAATAAACCTGAATAACTCCCACTCATTTCAGTCCTAAGCAAACAAGGATTTAGAGAAAACACTTCGGAAAAACAACTAGTTTGGAGAATGCCGGGAAGTCTGACAGCACTAGGCTGTCATGAGCAGGAATGGCCAGGGTTGCTCTAGCAATGAACTGCAGTGCTTCATCTTTTTCTCCAAAGGAAACCTGTACACTCAACAGTGAATGATCCAACAAGTAGGATCAGACCAAATCCTGCTAAAGCCATGAAACAACGATCCTGTTTCTTTGTCCTTCATGTATTATTGGCATCATACAAATTATACATTAAGCACAAAAAAACTCGACTAGAGAAGTGCCTTTGAGTTGTTTAGAGAGATCAATACGTCTCACTAGTACAAAGGGGCAACTAAATTATTGTGACTGCTGTTGATGGACTTTATTACAGTCAAAACTGACTTTCATATCAACCTGGTATCAGTGCTAACTTTGACAGAGCTATAGTTAAACTGTAAGACTCTATTAATGCTTAGTGGCAAGGAGGGTAACCAGTAGCTTGTGCAGAGAATCCCCTTCTCCTAACACTAATTCTCAACTAAAAGAATGGATTAATAATTGCTATAAGGGCATCCATCCCTGACCTTGCTATGAAACATCATATGAAACCCATTACGGCAAACATTTCTTTAACAAAATGAGCCCAAAAGGCCTACAAACTCACAAATTAGAGGCTAAACATAAATCTATATAGTGTCAGAGCCTGTTTCTCCACGGCAAAAGCAACACTGGATCTAAAGCACAAGTTAACACTTCATTTTCCAAAGTTTTAAAAGAATAAAAACCAAGAGAGAATCCTCAAGGGATCTGGAACAGAGTCATTCATTTCTGTTTTGTTTTCACTTGCTTAAAAGTTCTTGAATTTGATAAATACCTGCGTGTTTAAATACCAAAAAAAAAAAGTGTTAAAAGGATTTTTGAAATTTCATATAAATCTTCTCACTTACATATTTACCCTTCAGTTCTGTGGCTGCCTGCTGATAAGATGGCATCATTCTCTTACAAACACCACACCCTGATAAAAAAGAAATTGCACAAGTAAGTAACATGCCAGCAACTCTATTCAGCCTGTTATACAATATCTATGTTCCAAAGCATATGAAATAGTATTTTATATTTAAAAAATTTAAATCAAAATTCTTTATCTGCTTCACTAAAACATTATTAGATTATTAGTTTCTAAGGATGTTGCTTCTTCTTACAAGCCTTTATTTTTGCCCATTTTTCATGCTTTTCATTTTCATATTCATTTCTCATCCCAGTTTGAAAAGAGTAACAACATCTTACATTCATCAGGCTCTGAGCTGAGCCCAGAAGAGAACATAAGATGAAACACACATATCAAAAGTCAACAGAAGATGTCATAATTGTGAACTCAAACAAAAAGCTTCATGCATTTCTGGTGTTTTAAGGGACAGGGGGAGGTATCAGGATTCATCCCAGCTTAACAAGGCTTTGAAATTAATTTGAGATGCATTTCCTAAACACATTACACAGGCATCAAATGTTAAACAGTGCTCTGTTGATTGAGAAGACATAACTCAAAAGCAACAGCCCTTGTAAGAAACAATAATGAGCTGTGGAAAAGACAAACTGGGCGTGAGGAAGACCACCAATGTATAGCTGGAGTGTGCTGAGAGCTGCTTGATGACGCTGCGCAGTGCTAAGCAGATTAGCAGTAAATCACCTTGTAAGCAGCAGTTTTCACTCCTGCCAAGTAAAATCCTTGCATGCAGATGGGAAGGGACAGGAGTGCAGACAGCATGAAAGAAAGGAAGCTGGAGCCAAGCCCTCCAGATGCTTATTGTGGAAACTCTTGGGTCCACCATAGGACAGCAGTAAACTGTCTTGTTCTGGTGAAGATTACAAGAGTTTTGAAAATATCTTCCAGAAAGGAGGAACAGATTTTGCAACCACCAGTTTAGAATCACATCAGCATGCCTGAAAGAACATCCTTTAACCAGAGGAAAGAGAGTTCTTGTTTCTGTGGTCTTTCCACCTTTGGTCTCTCTGCTCAAAGGTTGTTAAATTAGTGCTGGTCAAAATGACAATTTGTTGGTGGGCACAGACCACTCATTTAAGGCCCACTGAGGTTTTACAGCTTCATCCAAACCACTGGACAGACATCAAAATATGTGAGTTGTTAACATCATCTTCTGGATCCCCTACTTCTCTCCTCAGCAGCCTCAGACCCTAAACTCACAAAGCAGATTTCCCTACCTTCCCCTCTTCACCCTCTTTCTGCTCCCCAGAATGCCTTCTGGAGCACACACACATACCAGTCTCCTCTATCCAGCCATCATTCCTATCATCCTTCTGTTCCCAGCTCTGCTGCTGCCTCGAACTTGCTGCTCCCAAATCCACTTCAGTACACCCTCTCCTGTCCACGTATTTCTGGGTTATATTGTTCAGGATGCTGCCAAGCCACATATACCACTCAACAGGTATAAAAAGAGTAACCTCAAAAAACTCATTTTCTTCTTTCTTCTTGTGTTTTGTCTCAAAAGGAAGAGCTTAATTAAACACACATTAGTTTTTCCACTACTTAACACCTTAATTTTTAAAGTCCTTGTTTTAATGATGTTATAAACAGCTCCTTGTTGTCACCAAATCCAGAGTTTCCTGCAGGAGTCTTTTTTGATAGAGTTAACTACAAATAAATCTGAATGCCTATAAGTATACCTAATTTTTCATCTTTAGTGCTGTCTGACTTTGTAATATAGGTCTGAAAGTACAGTAAATGGTCTCCAAATGGCAGGTAATATCTTCTAAGGAAAGCGTGCCTTTGCTCTGAGTCGTTTTGCCCAGACAAGGCATTCCTGAAATATTAAAGAAACTACATTTAACTCTGCAGTCACTTTCATCTCCCTCTGCACCGGTACATAATGAAAGGGCCCGTTTCCTATCAATCTGCCACAATTAATCTAAAGCCCCTGCTTCCAACAAAGCAGAGAAATAAGGCAGCTGTCTTCTCCATAGCTTCCCAGACAAAGCCTCTGATGTCGTCTCGTGCCAAAGACCTCCCCGAGCCACCCCTTACAAGTAAAGAAAAGCAGAATTTCTTTTAATGACCAGTCTTGATTTGCTGCTCCCAGTTATGAAAGGTAACACCTGTATGTAAGCAATAACTTCAGCTACCTGAAGCCCTCATTTTAATGCAACTGCTGGATGTATTCTGTCTCCAGCAAAAGGAGTAAGAAAAAAAAAAATGGACAAAAACCAAGCCAGAAAGTCCTGTGTGTTAAATAAAAGATGAGAGAGTTACAAACTGAGAAATCAGAGGGGAGGAAAAAAACCTTACAAGTAGACTTCCTCCAGAGCAGTTTAGAAAGCAGCAGAAGTATTACAGCACTGAAAACTAGCAGGTGTTTTGCCACTTCAAAAGAAGAGAAACCGGAAGGAGGAGGGTTTCTCGGGGAACGGTTCAAAGAGAACGAAGGGTTAGATAAGGCCCATTTTAGGAACAGACTCAGTTGTGGAAAACAATTCTTTCTGATACAGGTAAACTGTGAAAACATCTGCAGCTGAACTCTCCCCAGAGGGGTGATTTACAGCAGAGCAGGCGTGTCGTCTCCTGCTGATGCCAAGGCAGCAGCAGTGACTGGGAACAACCACACACTAAACCAGGACACACAGAACCCCACCACTGCAGAGTCTGAGGGCACAGAGCTACCAGTGATTTAATTAAAAGAAAAACCATTCTCTTAGTGATAAATCAAAGTAAGTCTGGGGCAATCCTGGCCATCTTGGCAGTACTCAGATGAGACAAAAAAGGCAGACTGGCATTTCAGGCAGTAATTAAAGAGAAAACACACCGAGAAACACCAGATAATGCTGCCATGGGACACAGTTTTAAACAGAATCAGACAGTGAATTGCTTATAGTACCTAACAACAACTTCCCTATTAGGGCAGTGCTGTGAGGCTTTTCTAGCTTAGGTCACACATTTACTCCCTTCTCATGGCTCCCCTACTTTCCAGCTGAGCAACAACTCCAGTGCAACACTGTCTTTCCTTTAGGAGCTGGAAAGCCTGTCACATAGCAGTCACCAGGGAACACAAAAAGGCAGTTGTAAATGAACAAAATTAAGGAACAAGCAGCCAATGAAATTACAAGATAGCAGCAATACAAGGTCAAGGTCACAAAAGAAATGAGTGACTCCAACATGCTCTTCTCTTTTCTTCCTGAAACCCCACTTGTATTTCAGTTACTGCTGCCAAGGTAGGTAGGAACACACAGGGTGCCTCCTGGATGGAACAGGACAGTCCTGCTCCCAACCACTGCACTGTTCCCTCTGCCTGCAGCATACAGTGTTTCTGTTTTGTACAACACAAATCTAGAAAGGACAATGGGCAACAAAATTACAGAAAGCAACTGCTTAAAAGAACATTGAGCAAGAGTCATCATCACAGGAGAAAGAGATAAGACTAGGATAGAGGCAATGGACAACCAGGGAAAAAGCTGAGGACAAACAGGCAGAACAACACAAGAAGCTGAATGACAAAGATAGCACAAGATGATATTAGTGAAGCACAGGTGAAGCTTCTAGACAGACTTCTAGACATCTCTCAGTGGAGAAGGGAGAGAGAGGTGACAGGACATGCTGCATTACTTACATGGGGCATAGAACATCATCAGAAGGGGTTTATCTTCCTTCTTCAGAAGCCTTCTCAATTCCTAGTGAATGAACCAAAGAAAATAAAAACCAGACCTACACCAAATGACACCTCTTATTATTTGTATTACAACTTCAAAAAATTAATATATGTATTCTTAGAACACAGGCTCATTTATCTGAGGGAAAAGGGATCATCTTTCCTAACAGACAAGACTCAATTTTTTTTTTCCCTTACTCAATTTTTACTTGAAAGAAGATTACAAAATGTATTATAGATTCAAATATCTGCTGAATATCCCAGACCAGTGGAAGTTGTATGTTTTAGTTCGCTCTCACTGCAGAATCTCTGACCGGAAACTCTTTCTTCGCTGACACATCCAAAAATCCATACTGTAATTCAAAAAGTCAGACTCAATAATAACAAAACAAGTTCAGTTTTCACACCATGAAACCTTGCCAAAGCTATGAGATGCCATGACAAAAAGATTTTTCAGTACCAGCATGATAGAGAAACTAGATGAAGTTTTCAAATTGAATGCAACCCTTGGAAGCCTTGTAATAGAGTACAGAGGGTGAACATTAAAAATTAATCTTCCTACAAAAACTGAATGTCAAAATAACCATTTCTAATATTAAAAATGAAAGCTAGGAAATTGAAAAAGCCCTTTACAAAATACCAGCTAGAGTCCAATCAATTAAAGTTTAAAAAATCCATAGACTAGAAAAGTAATACAAAAGACCAAGCTGATTATATTAGAAAGAATATAATGGGTAACTCTGTGGTGGCACTGGCTTTTTAAGGTAGTTTCATCATATTCGCTGCTTTCCCACTTAACATTAAGAGAGGACAGTTACTGTATAAAGTTAAATCCCTCAAGATCTGGATCTTATTTTGCTTCCTGCTCCACGCTTCCTGACCTCAGGCACAGGAGGGAACCCAAGGTTTAACAATAACCCGCAGTTTTAAGAGCAGCGTTTTACCTCCTGCTTGCACTCTGCAGTGACTGCATCTTGCAAGCTGCTACACTTCCCTGAGACAAACAGGGCTCTTCCACCACACCATTCACAAGCTCTGGTTCTTGCTGTGTGCCTGGCAGACTGATATCATGACCACATGCAGGGGAGAGGAAGGAGGGAAGCAGAGGACTTTACAGATACCACAACCCACAAACTTTGTCAAATCACTTAAAACAGTTTGAGTGCTTTAAACCTCCCTTCCAAAGAAAGGAAATAATGGTGTTTCACTATGAGTTAATACAAACACACACACTCCCTTCATCCCATATATTTATAAAACAACAGAGTATCCAGCTAATGTACCTTTTCACTGTCAACATGCACAATATCTTTGGCTTCAGGATCTTCCTCCCATAGTGGAGCACCTTCTGGATCCTTGAGAAAGGCCACCATAGACTGTAATAAATAGGGAAAAAAGCTTTTAAAGAAAAACTAATGGAAACCATGAGACATCCAATCTCAAATCCACGCTGTCATGCAAACCCCATCCAATCAGTGCCTTTGCTTTTCTGCTCATATTCTCATCTGCTCTAATGCAGATTAGCACAAATCTCCAATTGGTTGCAGAATCAAATGATACGTGGGTGTGTACCTTCCTCATAACTGATATTCCAACTTATCAGTTCCCACTTCCACTATAAAAATGAGGAAAACAGCGTGGCAGTGGACCAAAACACAGAGAGTAGCTTCAAGCATCCTTTAGAGAGCTCTTTCAATGGTACTGGATCTTCCACAGCTACTCCCTGGGTTAGCAGGAAAGACTTCTCTTTTTGCAGAGGTCAGGTTCCCATGCCCTTCACCATATCCAAGTAACCTTTGAATCCAACAGGAGTAGCTGGAGGGCACACTGATACTTGCTGTGAGCAAAAGTAATGAACTCCATACTTAGAGATCAAACTGCTTATTTGGTCAAAGGAAAAATAATCCACCAATAGTTCCCTCTGTGACCCATCTACCTAGAAAGTGTACTCAATGGATTTTTTTAAGTAGGAGAGTAAGAAGCAAATGTGACAGGAGAATTAGGAAGTACCAGATCCTATGATTTTGCAGCTCCGACATCCAACAAGCTGAGTACATTTGCACATGTACTTTGTAATTGCTTTACCTGACTGACATGCAACCAACAATCACAGACCACAGATACCCTCTTTATCATACAGAAATAAGCTCTGATGGCTCTGATTTCAGCCTGAGCCTGAAGGAAACTCCAGTCCTAAGTCAATGAGATACTCTCCATGGATTCTGGCAGTCACGCTGCCCCTCATTTTCAGCTGTACATGGAAGTACAGGGTTATCACTGTTATCTTCTGCTGTCTCTGCTCTAGGAAACAATACCGGGTTTTCCATGTTCATTCACCACTCATATTGACTCCATTTCTTCCTCTGTGGCATTGATTCTAGGTGTGTATCCACTCCCAGACAGGATCTCTGCCACACCAGTAACATAGTGAGGTCTCTGAGGAGCTTCCTTCAGTGTAAGAGTGAGTGGACGATGCTGCCACAGCACTAAGGAAGCTCACACAGAGCTGGAGCAAAGAAAAGCTTCATTAAAGCTTTTTCAGCCCATGTGATAATTTGCCAAAACAGCCCATGACTGAAAAGCAGAGCTGAGCACATACTAACGCACACCAAAAACATCTGCCTAAAAGCCTAAGTGTGGTATTCCGCCTTCCTAAGAGCAGGTGAACAGCACTCCTGGTGACACATGCCACTTGCTGGAACAGTCTCAGAGACACTTTTGCTGCCTCTCTGCCTTTGGTGGGGCTGTTCTGGTACAACATCCCACCAGCTTATCAACAGGGAGGAGAATTCAGTTCATTTTCCTGCATCTCGGTACTGCGAGGCTCGTGAGGATTCGGAGCTTACGGCAGGATCCATTTATTGCATTTTTATTTCTGTCTACTTGCACAGCTAATATTGAAGAGATTTGTCTTATCAAAAGAGGCAGCATACATCAGTCACCAGACAGCATGCAAAGCACTTAATGTACACAGTTAGAAGACCTAAGGGGCGAGGTAGTAGTGTTAGGGCCACAAACACTTCAAGAAGAAATTTGTTTTAAAATGGCATTAGCAGAGAGAAGAGCTAGCTGGGGGGGAAAAAAATATAAAATCAAGTAATTTACAATGGAGTTACAGTGTAAAAACTCTAAACCTAGAGGCATTAACATCCCAAATGATGTCCTAGGAAGACTAATAATATGTGGGGAAAGGAAAGAAGAGGACAAAACAGCAGCGACCTTTAGGACAGCTGCATCAAGTTCTGCTCACTCTCTGTCTGCACAGACCTCACCTACACACTGGAAGGGAGGAGAGGGGGGTCAACATTTTAAACAGTTAATGAGTGTAATTGACTCTGCTAGTTTCAAGAATTCCTGTATGCCAAGCTCAGTCATGTAGAAACAGATGCGGTTAGAGGATGGGGGATTAAAGAGATTTAATTCATCCAGCCTCTCCCTCTCAGCCAAGACAGAAAAAATTAGATGTGTAATGTCTTCTGGCAGGAGCAGGCAGGGCATTGCCTTGCCCTCATTTCTCCATGTGGCGAAGAGAACTTCCCATATTGCTTTAAATAGGGAATAACAACACCCAAACAAACCACAGCACTTTCTAATCACAGAAAAGCACTGCTCCCCAGGCTGCTGGGTTAGAGACCACAGCAAGGTCCAGGGCACAGCAACCCTAGTGCTGGAGAACCAGCTACCTTCCTGTCCTGCAGTGATATGGTCAGGACTTGTTTTGACCCCACAGAGCCGCAATGGGCTGTAACCTGCTGCCCGAACCGCTGTGACAGCTTTGAATCTTAAACATCAATTCAGCAGAATACAGGACATGGCTGCTACAAGCAAGCAAGTTTTAACAGGAGAACTGGTGATCATATACACAGACCTAAGTTTTAACCCGAAAGAAAAGTATACAGAAACACATCCCTGTACTCTTCACTCCTTTGAAGTGTCATGCAGTAGGGATGCTAATAAGAAGACTTGCCTCGATTTCAGACACACACTCCTCACAACAGCAAACTTGAAACAGATTCAGAGTTTAGAGCAGGACCAATTTATTGGGTTAGTCTATTCCCTTTGCTAGTCCTGAGCAGATTCATACTTTAATGAGTTTTCTCCATTTTAGGAGGAGGGTAAAACTCTCCCTGTAGTTTGTAATCCAGAAAAGGTTTCATCATGTAATAAACATAGCCTGGATTCTGGCCTTATGGCACTACTGGGGATTAGGATATGGTGTGGCTAAAGCAATATATGAACAGACATTCCAGGTTACATCAAAGACTGATCTAAGCTTAGGTTTCCAACAGCAGATCCCTGCAGATACTTGGGGAAAAGACATACTAATACCATTCTTATATAGCATACACAGGTATATGTTCTCAATTTCTGGCCAAAAGTGATTAAATTTATAGACTCTGCACCAGCTATTGTATATGGACCTCTGTGCTTGCTAATTATCAATGGATCTATCTCTTATGACTACATACAACTGTTTTTAAGACTCCTAATTCTTGGCTTTTGCAATATGCAGCTACAAGTTCCAAGACTTTCCCCAAATGCCATTGTTTGCACACAAGTTTAGAGAAAAAAGAGGTAATCACTGCCTTTTTTAAGCTACGCAGTTACACAAACATCAATCACAATCTCCTCCTTTTTTTCCAAGTGCAAGGATCTTCACAGAAGTATTCAAGCTGTTTGTGCCTCTCATCAGCCTCTCTGTCCTTCTGCAGTACTTCTACACCTTTCACTTGATGTGGCAACCAGAATCTCACATAAGATACAAGATGAAGGAACCAAACGGACTCAAGACTCAAGGTGAAATACCATTTCCTTTTTTGTTCCTAATCATTTGACAGAAAGTACTGTTAAGCACAGGGCTTATATTTTCAAGCCAATCACTGTCCAGCTGGCAATTCAAAGCCCATTACAACAATCTACATTACTCCAGCATAGCTGGAGTTTCTTTCCCCGTCTTGTTCATTGCCCCCCACAAGTTCCAACTTTCACACTGACAAGCCACTTAGTATGGTGAGAACCTGAGCCCCTCTGCAAAGAACTGGAGATACTTTTTAAAACTATTCCTAATAATTCTGAATCACTGAACTTTGTTCTCTTGCATTCCATCCCCCTTTACTAGATATCCAAAATAGCTCAGATCCTAACATATGTCTCAGAAGCAGGAGGTTCTGACTGCTAAGTAGCTTCCCCCCACTGTGAACACCGAGCTACTCTTTATTCCTCATTTTTCTAACAGTAAACCCACAAGGGCATCTCTGCTAATTACATAAGAATTTAGTTACTTTAAGAAATGAAAAGCTTTTCTTAAAAACCTGAGTACACTATCAGCTGGATCAGCCACATGTATGAAACTGCTGATTACTTCAGAAGAATCCTTTTACAGTTCTTCAGGGCTGTGTCCATCATTCTCCAAAATGTCATACATATAATATTATGTCTACTGGATGCCTGGAAAGGAGATCTAAGTTTTATTGCCACACATTTGTTGAATGAAGTGAAACAAATCCTTTAATCTCCCTGTTCTTCAGTCTGTCCACCCGTCTGTAAAATGAGAATGATACCCTAAGTAACTGTGTTGCTCTGCTTCTCACTGTTTGTATGTACTGGGAGATTCCTGACAAACACAGCTGAGAGAGAAAAACAAAGGTCACTGGCTCAAAAGAAGAAAACATGGAGAAGAAGTGGAATAGAGGGAGAAATACAGAAAATATTCAGGCAGCTGCCAGCAGTGGAACAAGTAAACACTCAGCTGAGTTATATGACCACTGCCCAGCTCTGACCCACTGCCCAACCTGTAAATCATTAGTGGCTGGTTTCACAGGGGCAATTAAATTAAGAAAGACTACAGTCTCTAGAGTGAGGGAGCTGAAAAATCCCTCTTCAATGCCCAACAGAATCCCCTATTCCCTGTCCATGGGACGCTGCTTCCTTCTCCCCAGCAGGCTGGGCAAAAGGGAGAGGGGAAATGCTCATCACAAAACAGCAACTGAAGAAATAAACAATCAGATTCCTGTTGTGCTATGATTGCCTCTCAGCCCATCACTCCCTGGAGTGCTGCAGGTGCTTTCCACTTGATCTGATCTGTAAGGAAGAGTCACAGCACTAAGCCTTGGTTGCAGCACTTTATGGAGGGCAGGAAAGACATGTCATGTATTGTTCAAACCACCCAAATTTAGCCAACTAGCAAGTCTCTCTCTGCCCACCACTCACCAAGGCAAAAAAAAATCACCAGCTGCATTTCCTCACTAAGTACAGAAGCAGCTTCAGGCAGTTGCTGACTAGGCTGGGTATCTAACATTGCCCTTCCTAGTTCCAGGCAAGATTTCTACTGCAAAAGATGGGAATATATACAGCCCCATTCTTACCACCTCAGGCAAATCCTGCCTGACAGCTCCAAGTGAAGGTAGACTTAATTCAAGCCAGAGCACACTTCCAAGACAGTCCCCCATTAGCTACCCCACAACTCTGGCTGTAAAACCAAAGTCCAGAGCAAGCACGCTTAGGAACAGCCTCTCTGGCAGACTCAGGTTCATGCAGCATCTCATAAAGGCTTTCCTCCATCCCAAGGCAACCCCCTGAACAAACCAGAAAGGGGATATACATGGAACTATGTCAACATGGGGTGATGTCATCAAGCCTCCACAAGACCCATGATGATGCAGAGCCTGGGTTTGCTGGAGGAGGAAGAGAAATGGGAATGGGGCATCAGAGCTGGACAGCAATGATTTCTGGAAGCCAAGTCATTGCAGGGCTGTAGCCTCATGTAAGTACAGTCTCAGTGCTTCACCAGGGCTTTGCAAAGGAAAGCTGCACACTTTTGGCCTGCTCACTGTGCTTTTAGTTCACTATTTCCGCAATCATCAATATCTACACATTCATTTCATGTTTCATGTCTTCTCTCCTGCCTTGCCCAGAGAACGTTGCTTTCTGTTGCTTTATGTCAAGATTCACTGGAGAAGAAGAAAGGTCATTTTATCCCTGATGCACTCAGAGCACATCCACAGGAACTGCAGTTCCACAATCCAATCAAAGATAAGGCCACTCAGCACTCTTTAAAGCTTATAAACACACAATCTAAGAATCCCAGAGAACTCCTTATCAAAATGCAGTATCAGCTAAGACTTTTAGTTATACTACCACTAAGAGCACCTTGTAATCAAAACAAGAAAATCCTTATTTGTTACCAGAGTGCAGGTAAACTTACAATTTACCTTACAGTTCAACATGGGCTCAGTCTTTCAAATCATTCACAACATTCCCAGATCTGTGGTTGGCAGACATGTTTACACATGAAAACCCTTAGGCCATTCTGACAGCTGTTTATCAAGATTAACCCCCTCCCTTTTCACCATGAAAACATACCAACACCTCTTTTTTTTAATCCACAAATGTCTCACCCATATCTAGCAAAAGCAAAAGAATAATAAGGAAATATTTAAATTTACCTTCAATGTGACTGCTCTGTTATATGGAGTATGAAATGCACCGTCCCTGTTGAACAAGGAGTGGGGAATAGTGTTAACTTACAGGAACGTTACTAGAAATCATACAGCTGCTCTTCCTCACTTCCCACTAACCAGAATAAAATTATCCCACCCAAGCCACAGAACTAAGCAGAATTTACAGTGCAGCAATTTAAGGGTGGCAAAAAACAAGAGTAAGGGAAAAGGAAGGGTGTAAAAGAGAGTGTAAAGCAAACGGGTTCCTAGTAAACCATTTCCTCCCTGACACTTTAACAAGAATAGTTACCAAGGTATGATTTTTGGAGATGGAGATGCAGCTTCTTGGTGTATCTAACTGTATTCCTATTCCTATTATTTTCAGGAGGAAAATCTCTTGCTGTCTCACTATACTTGTCTTTCTCCATTTAGTTTACGAAGCACTATCTCAAGTCAGAAAAGCACAGAGAGGTGAAACGACTTGTCCAAGGCCAAGCAGGCACTGCCAGCAGCCAAGTGACAGAGAAAGCAACACGGATCAAATCTCAGGCATCAGTCCTGTGCACTGGGCAGTTTTAGTCCACTGGACATCTCTCCGTGACCCTGCCTGTGGTTTTAGTGGACTCTATTCAACAAAGAATAAATTTATCTCAACTTCTGTCACAACACACACTTGCAAACTGAAGAAATGGCAACTAATTTCCCACATCAAAGGATAAAAAATAAGTCATCTTAATGCTGCAGCAACATGGAGCTGAAAGGAGAATGAACAGTTCTAATGGGGGAATCAACAATTTGGAACTACAAATCCCATCCCAGAACTCACTTATAATGGAGTAAATCCACTCCCTTCTCCTTTGTATTAGGATCTACCTTCATCTTCTTGCATAATTTTCGGCTTTCAGTATCACTGCAAAAAACATATATTGGAAGAAAGGTTACCAGAAAAGAAAATCAAATGCATTCAGTTCTGAGAACTCATTGCTGTGCTTCCTTATCAGCAATTAATTCCAACTAACAGTAATTTGGAAGCTGTTTAGCTAAGTTTGTAGAACAAGCATTGTGAAAAGCTGCATTAGTCAATTTAATTTCTCTGTTTGCTTGGTCAGAACACAGTGAACTGTTTTAAAATCACATTCCAAAGCCATGCCCTAACCAATAGAAAAGCAGCTCATTCCAACATGTTGAAGTACCTCAGCAGATCTTCTGTCCATAGGATTAACACAAAATTTAGGAAGTCAAGTTTCCAATAAGCCCATGCTACTGTTAGGGTGATGGTCAAAGAGCACTATTTGTGAAAAGATTCAAAGGGAAAAAAGTAGGTCAGCTTTTACATCTGGCAGAAGATAATACAAAACCAAAAAAAACCATGTTCCTGGTATGTCCAAGCCCAAATCACAAATGTTTAGCCTTAAAAAGGCAGAAAACAAAAACCAGTTGAAATTCTGGAGCCCCAGGCCCAGCAACCCCATTCATTTTAGGTATGAAGGATGTGTGCTGGAGCCACACCTGGCAAGTAGAGGTAAAGACCATCTGCCACAGCTCCTGAAGGAAGATATAACAGCAGACAGACCTGGTGCAGGTGGTCTTCAAACTGAACGAGAACTAATCACTTTCAGCACCAGATTAGGCCGAGTTTAAGAACAGAGAAAGTCGCGGGAGAAAACTGCATATACATTTGTTTTGGTGGCCAAGTAAAGGGTCTTTGTGGCCTAGCTACTGATCTAAGCAAAGCGAAGTGAAGCCATAAGGAGACTTCAAGCTGAAGTGAATGAATAGTTCATTGAAGACCTGGGGAGAAGAGTGAAATAGTACAAGTACAAAGAAAAGAGGATGATTCACATTGACAAGACTATTCTTTGCATTGACAAACAGCAAAATTAAACAGCTTGGAAACTTGTTCCCACAGAGGACAACTTGTACCTTTTACACAGATAAATCAATTTAGAAAATGAAAACACTGAAAACCCATCAAGTTTAAACTGATTAGAGACAACAAGATGCAGGGCTTGCAAGAGCCCCACCAAATTAAGTGCTGCTGCCAGAACTGGTGCTAATTCTCCTCATGTTCTCCAGCTGCCTTTCTACAAATGTGAGGAACAAGGAACACTAAATTCAGAGTATGCTGCAGGTGAGAGTGCACCTTATGGGAAACTTCCCAAACGTTTATGGTAGATGGAAATGAGGAAGGGTGTGCTATGGACACATGCAGCAAAATCAGAATATTATGCTGAAGATGGAAATGAGCATTTTAAGGAACTAACAAAGCAACTACCACACCTGGAAGGAGCACTTATATAGAAGCATGTTTATCTGAAGAGTCCTACTGAATTCATACGAGTTTTGCATTTTCGGATCATAGTCAAAGCTAGTCACTGTAACCTGTAAACACTCCTTTTGCTTCTCCAGGAGGCTGGAGATCTGAGCCTGAGAACTGAAAAATATGACCATGTCTCCTTGTAACAAAACTAGATTACAGAACAAATACCCTAGATTTGGAGTTATGCCAAGGAACATGTTTGCCACATGGAGTTTGTACTGAAACTTAGCAGCAACCTCAAACCCAAGGGTCAGAAGCATCCTGCCTTCTCTCACCTGCAGTCCTCCAATGGTCCCATGGGCTAAACCTAAATGACTCGAAGGTCAGGGCATCTCTGGAGGAGACACTATTTTCAGATCATCCTCTCGTGTTACCCCAGACAGATTTAGAGGCACAGAGAACTCTCGCGGCCCTGCTGCAGCTCACTGCCAGACAGCCTGAAGTCAGCCTGCACCATAGTCAACTTTGGTAAATGCTCTTCTAGACACTTCCAAATGTTTCCAGTATACACATGTATTTGTGGCTATCTCAGCTTTGCCCAGACAAATGTGAACAAGTGTAATGCTGAAACCCACTTCAGGCAACAGGGTCTGTCAACCCCCAAGATGTGCAGACCAATTGTTCTGTCATCAGCAGAGGATTAAAGTGGGTATCAAGAGAATTCTGTTGCCAGTTCTACCACCTATTCACTGCAACTTCAAACCATACAGTCAAGAAAGTGTAATTTTCCCTTATATATCATTAGAGATCTGGATGGATAGTCGTGTTAGGAAAGTTCTGCATGGTTTATACTGGAAAAAGGCTACAAAACATTATTACTGAGCTACATGTGCAAGCAAGCAGATAGCAACTCCTACCACTCTAACTCCTAACAATTCATCTTCTGTTTGCACGAGTTTCTATTAAAAAAAAACTGATAAGAATAGCTGTTTCATTGGAATCTAAGTCTGCCCTGCTTTCAGGATTTCTACTTTTGCAGAGATTCACACAGCTGCCTGAATGCACAGCCATTATCACAGGAAAGAAAGCAGCAGTTTGCTCCAGTATATCTCCTACCATTTAGGAAGCAGATTCTCTGCACCGCTGCATTGAGAGTTTAGTCTGTTTATGCAAGCTATCTGTACTGATGCAAGGGATGGATGAGGAGCAAATTCCCAGAATAGGAAATGTCTAAATACACATCAGTAATTTTTTCATGCATCAGTGCAGATTTTTGCACATGCCAGATCCACCAGTTCAGATGCTATACTAACAATTCTTTGGAAAAAGCAGAAAAGGAGATTTACAGAAATGGCAGAGATGGACTCATTCTGCTTTCCCTTCTGCCTTCCCTTCCAGACAGACAAAAATAACCTGCAAAGAGCAACCTGCTCTGATATCACTTGCTAATGACCATTATTCTTAATAAGAGTAAATATCAACACAGATGCAGCCTGCTCTGAGATTTGTCTCTCTTGAATCTCAGCCAACAGCCTCTCTCTGAAGATGAGCTCTTCAACTCTCACATGGGAGAGGGTAATTAGGACTCCAGTTCTCACAATTTAATTATATCACTTGAAGAGGCAGTGTAAGAGTTTGTTATAATGACTAAAAGTAAAAAAAAAAAAGAAAGAAAGAAAAAAAAAAAGAAAACCCCCCACGACCCAAAAAAGACCCCCAAAATCATCACTGTACCACCCAGGCCAAGCCACTCCAGACAAGGCACCAGGCTCAGGAAATACTGGTTTGAGGATGAGGTCAGTAATATATCCCCAGCAGCCATCCCATGCTGTTTCCGTCCAGAGCAATTCTAACCTTTGCAAGTCCCTGCTGTGCTATTGCTGAAGGGACCCCTGCAGGCAGTCCTACAATCATCCAGCATTACCTCCCTGGAAAATCATCCAAAGCATCAACCTATTTTCAATACCACAAAGGACCTAACCAGCAGCTGTCTATGTGGTAATAAGGTCAAACCTTAAGTGGCACGATAGCACGGATTCTTTCCACTCCCACAGGCATGTTCTCCACACTTCCCTTCCCACAAAACCAAAGCAGGGCTCCCAAACGTGCCTTTGCTGGAGAAGCGAAGACATACAGCAGCTTGGTAAAGAGAACAATAAAATGAAAGATCCAAGTCGACCTAACTAAGCAAGAAGTCTAAATAACAGCAAAGATAGCGTGCATCGCAGGAATACGTCAGCCCTTTCCATTCACATGCCCATCTCCTCTACTGGGACACATTTCTGTCATTTGGGGTTACGATGGAGCTGGCAGGAAGCCCAACTGGAGCACTCTCTGTAAACCTCTGGGGTCCCTTGTCAGCATTAGCATGCATGAATAATCCCTTAGCACAGGCAGCCAGCTGTTAACAGGGCAGGAGGAGGGTGAGGGACTTGTGAAGGAGATCTGGCTTCCTTTGGCTCACCAGCACCTGAAGGGGATGTGTCACAGGTATTCCTTAGGAGCAGCACAAGATGCTCTGCCTGTGCAGGGCTGCCCACAAGCCTGGAAGCTCATGGTCATAAGGATGGAGAAGCAGATCAGATATTGATGGCAGCTCCCAGTGGCAGGAGCAACACAGAAAAAGGCTTTTGCAGCAATGTGTCAAGGTAATTTGGAGAGAGAAAGAACAGAGGATAAAACTAGACAGGAGGAACACAAAATAAGACCCAGGAGTTTGGCTGCAGTTTAAGTCACAGTGGTTTCTAAAAATAAAACAAGTCCAAGCTGGATGGATCCCAAGTAAGAAATGGTGCATGGAGGTGGCAGTGCAAAAACCCTTCCCTGGGGCGAATTCAGATAGGTCCTGATAGGTCATTCCTGAAGGAGCATGGTAAGACCAAACAACCTCAGCAACATTCTCTTTCGTGAGCACAGATAAAACCTTTTGCAGCTTCCTTACCACGTAATGCTGCCCACTGGCTTCTCATGAAGAAGGGAAAACAGCCCCATGACCACATCAGCCCCTGGGGAGGAAGGATCTGGAATGACTGTCAAACCCCCTCTTTGGAAAAATGTTCAGGTCTCCAGTTGCCAACATAACAGCAGCGTGTGCACGTGCTGTGTGGCCGTGTCACTTCACTGCCACTGTGCTGGCACCTCCAACACTTTGCAATGCAGACTGCACCCAGCTTTCTTTTTCATCCACACCTACAGTATTTCCAGGCACAAGAGAAGTAATAATAAAAACGCTGACAGAACCAATTTAAGCAACGAGGTCAGTAAATCTGCCTGCACAAGAACTATCTCATTCCTCTATCAGCATATCATGTAACCACATGCGAACCACAGACCTCACAATCTCGAAACAGATTTTCTCTTTTATCTGTACATCTGCCCATCTGAAACAGGGCTCAAAACCCATGTAGATTATGCTTTAGCAGTCCCTTGTATCACGGTTGTGCCTGTAGACTCTAATGCAACAGAGGCTCTGCTGTATCAGTGGCTGAACAGACAAACGCTGTCACTGTCCCAACAGCTGGAAGAGACAGAACTGAGCAGGTAAGGAAGACGAACAGGCTTCAAGAGCATGGTAATACGGCAGAGCAGAAACAGGACTGCTTACCCAGCAAGCCTCCCAGCACTGGAAAAGCTTTGGAAGGTACTAGTCA